AATGACACCACAATCTCGTCAAAAGATTGTAGAATCTTCCCAATCCATATTTGTGGAAATTGAAAAATATTGGAAAGAAATTGATGAACCTATAATTGATATTTCAGAATGGATAATTAGATTCGCATTTGAAAATATCATGTACTTGACAACCAACAAGCGATTTAATTCGATTGCTGATTATTATAATTCTTTAAAACCTAACACACAACCTCCATTAACAGAGAAACTTATTGGAGGTGTTAAAATGTTCTTTCATGCTGGTCACTTCTATTCACTTGCGCCAACATTTTGGAGAAATATGCCGGGACAAAATAAAGCAATTGCTAATATGTTATTAGGAGCAAAGAAATCGTTAGACTCATTGGTCTTGGAGATAGTTAAAAAGCGCAGGGAACAGATAGAAAATAGTGATGTGAAAGAAGAATTGTCACAAGATTTTTTAACACAATTATTGACAATAAATACGAATCAGGATGTCACTAAAGGTATTAATGATGAAAAACATCAATCACCTATGTCTGATGAAGAAGTTAAAGCTATTATGACAGAAATTCTTACTGGTGGATCCTTTACGGTAAAATTAAGATTATGTTACTATTAATTTTTTTAATTTTTCATCAATTTAATTAATCTTATTCTATTTTTAATTTTTATTTTTTTTAGACATCAAACACTATGTTATATGTGATTTATTACATCGCAAAATATCCTGAAGTTCAACAAAAAATTGTTAAAGAAATCGAATCAATATTAGGCAATAATGTTAATAAGGAAATTACATTAAAAGATTTAGATAATATGAAATATTGTGATGCTGTTATTAACGAAGGTAAATAATTCACAAATTCCTATTTTTTTTTTTGAATATTGGTATTTAATTTAGATGCGATTAAAAATTTTTCGATTAAAACTTAAGATAGGATGTAATTAAAATTTTGACATTTTTATACCATTTGAGATCATTAAAATACTAAACTACGCGCCTTTTTTAATTTTAATTACTTTATTCTTTTCAACTATCTATTCTTTGATTATTGGTATAGCAAAAAAATCGATAATATTTCTATCAGAAGAGGAAATAGGATTACAAATATTACCAATTAAAGCGATTATTTTATTTATTATATCATTGATTATTGGTAGTTGATATCATTGATTATTAGTAGTTGATATCATTGATTGATTATTGTCATTAGTGCACATTTTATTTTAGTTTTAGCGCACTTAAATGGGCTTTACTTTGTGCCGGCAATACAACCTCCCAAAAAGGAAATAGCCAATAAACAAAACTGATCCTATTAATGAATTTGGGAATTTTTAAAACTTCTAGCGATGATTTCTCAATAACTACTTGATCGAATTCGGCAAATTTTTTTAATTATATAATTTTGTAGGATAGTATATTATAAAAATTTGCTTACAAAATTTTTAATAAAATTCAAAACCTAATTTTAACTAAAATAAAAAAAAGAAGCTCATTGAATTGGTTTAAGCACCTACCTCAATAAATTCGATAAAAAATCTGATTGCCTAATTTGATCAAACAGACCAATCAGATTCGTTATTGAGTCCATTGAGGTAGGTACTTGAGAACGCCCTTAGCGCTGTAGTTATCGGGAAATCATAGCTAAAGGTTTTAAAAATTAAAATATCGGAGTAAATTTTCCTTTGAACTTTATCGCTGTTTTCATAAATTCTACCATAGAAAGACTTTCGTATGATTGGCTGTTTAAATCAATTTAATTTTACATTATTTATACAGTTTAAAGTACTTTTTAAAAAAAATAAAACTACGAAGAATAAACAAAAAAGAAAGTTTTATTAGGGTTGTAGGACTCCACTATTAAAAATAATCAAAATGATTTCTAGTTTTAGAGAAGTTAGCAT